ATATATATAGATAGTTTTATATATACGGAGACATTGAAAACATAACTGACAGGTTACCTTAACTCCTAATTCCCTCAACCAGACGACTGAAAATCAGTGGCAATCCCATTTACTAAGTGTGCTACTCACACAGTGCCGTGACTGCTGTAAGAGAGACTGGGGGGAGTGGAAGGTAACCAAGTTGAAAAGCAGGGGATTTTGTCTTTGTTTAAAGCTTTATAAGGTGAGCCATTTTGAAGTAGAGTTTAGAATTTTATTTCCAGGCATGTGTATTGGTGTATATCTTTAATCCCCACACTCAAGGTGCAAAGGCAGGTGGATCTCTGTGAGGTGTAGGCCAGACTGGTCTAACCTATCAACTTCCAGGACAGCCATGGCTACAAAGTAAGACACTGTTTCAAAAAAATAAGTGAATGAGGCTGAAGACATGGCCTCGCAGTTAAAGAGCACTGGCTGCTCTTCCAGAGGACCTGTAGTTCCCAGAATCCACCACTCCAGTTCCAAGAGCTCTGATGCCCTCTTCTGCCATCTGAAGGCACCAGGCACATACACACAGTACATAGACATACATGCAGGCAAAACACCAATACATATAAAATAATAATAGTAAAAAAGTTAAAGAATTTTATTTCTAGAATACATTATAAACACTTATCTTCCCTTCAGTTTCTTCTAATGATTATCAACCATGCATGAATGAAGAAACAAAGGAAGAGGATCTGCTGAATAAGTGCATGCAGTCCATGTCCATTCACGAACAAGGCCCATCTCACGTCAGCCTGACAGTCTAGTCCTCCACGCCAAGGTCAGCCATCAGCTAATATCCAGATGCTGAGCAGGAGTGGACAGGGAAGAGTTGGGACCATGTACGGGATAGCGCTAGTAGTTGCTAGTATGTTATTTTGGTTGAGAAATTTATAATAGCCTTCTTCACCTAATATATTTCTGTGTTATATCTGTATAATGTATGCTTATTTCTAGCTAGAACAATTAAAGTTTTACTTGCCACATAAAACTGAAGTTTCAATTATTTTATGTGTGTTGGTGTCTTGCCTGCATGTCTGTCTGTGTGAAGGTGTTGGAGCTCATGGACCTGGAGTTACAGACACTGGAGGCTGCCATGTGGATGCTGGGAATTGAACCCCAGTCTTGGAAAAGCAGCCAGTGCTCTTAAACTGCCACTGAGCCATCTCTCCAGTCCCGTGATTTTTTTTTTTTTTATCTGGCAAATATTTTAGTGTGTGCGTGTGTGTGTGTGTGTGTATGTATGTATGTATGTATGTATGTATTTATGTATGTGAATATACACAGAAAAGTATTTGCAACCTTACCTTGAAAAGCAGACTGGTCAATATTTGCTATTTAATATAAATTAAAAGCCTCTGGATAAGATAGGCATGGTGGTATACACCTTTAATCTTTTTTTTTTTTTTTTTTTTTTGTTTTTCGAGACAGGGTTTCTCTGTATAGCCCGGGCTGTCCTCGAACTCAGAAATCCGCCTGCCTCTGCCTCCCGAGTGCTGGGATTAAAGGCGTGCGCCACCACCGCCTGGCTACACCTTTAATCTTAGTGGTTGGGAGGCAAAGACAGATTTCTGTGACTTCTGGGCCAGCCTGATCTACACTGAATTCCAGGTAAGCCAAGGCTATATAGTCAGACACTGTCTCAAAAAGAAATTATTCAATCCAGACAAACCCTCCTGCAACAAGGCTTAAGAATCAATGCTGAGCTGGGCAGTGGTAGCCACACCTTTAATCCCAGCACTCAGGAGGCAGAAGTTTGTGTAGTCCTGGCTGTCCAGGAACTTATTCTGTAGACCAGGCTGGCTTTGAACTCAATAGATCACCTGCATCTGCTTCCCGAGTGCTGGGATTAAAGGCATATGCCATCACCACCTTTCTAATATCTGTTTTTTAGTGGTCACAGGGGACCCCTGTACAAATGTTGTTAGACCCCTTTGGGGTCTCGACCCACAGGTTCAGAACAACTGCTCTAACACATTTGCAGCTGTGTGTCCTTCACTCTAGCACATCCGCAGCTGTGTGCTCTTCACTCTAGCACATCCGCAGCTGTGTGCCCTTCACTCTAGCACATCTGCAGCTGTGTGCCCTT